TTGGCTCTTTTCCCCATAATTCCTTGGCGTTCACTCGAGTTGTTGTATATATAATTATCTCTGGAAATTGTTCATCTTACAGCTTTCTGGTGCCATTCTTTGCCTCACATCATGGAGTATCACCCTACACATGAGCAGCTATAATAGTATTCAGCCAAAGACTCAAGAGTACCCACATGTTGGTTTTTGGGGCTCTTTCATTATATAGCTTCCTCCTCTCTGGTGCTTTGCCTTGCAAATTTAACCTGTGTTGGGCTCCTATAATTCAGATTTCTCTTAGCCCTACTCAGCCAGACCTGGATGTTTTACTTGGAGTCCCACTTTCTGTGCATCAGTCTGGGTGGTGTCTCCAAGCCAAAACCTGGAGTGATTTAGAACTCATCTTGATTTTTGCCTTCTCTCAGGAATCAGAGCCTTGTCTTGCTTTTTTTCCAATGTCTGAGAACATTAGTTTCATATATTTCATCCATTTTTCTGATTGTTTATGTTGGGATGTCACGTGTAGGACCCGTTGCTTTCACATGGTCTGCAAAAAGTTTTCTTTTTCCTGATACACATTGCTAAGCCTTTCTTACTCCAAGATTATGCAAATATTCACACATGTTATCTTCTGGGTCTTTTGTGTTTTTTAGCACCTTGGATTTGTCTGGAATTAAGTTTGATTTGAAATGTGAGGTAGGGATCTAGTTTTATTTTTTGCAAATGGCTGGTGCTGTCTTTAGCAATTATTAATTTTTTTCATATACACTTATTATATATACTGAGGTCTACTTAATTCTTTTAGTTGAATTTTTAAAAAATCGAGTAACATTCATATATAATTTCTCTAATTTTATAATGTATTTTTATTATGTAGTTCTTCTCCCTTTCCTCCTTGCTTCCCACAACCTTTATTAATGGCTATTTATCATTTTTTTAGAATATTTTTGAAACCTCTTTGTATTATCTATGCGGGTGAATTTTCAAAAGTGTGGTGGATGTTTATTTTGTTTTATTCAAATGGTAAATACCTTATATTTTTTTTTATTAATTGTAGATCTGAGGTATCATGCCATATCAGTATATATTGATCTATATCATTCATTTTACTGGGTATGTACTATTTTGTTATGTGAATCTTCTACAATTCAC